ACGTGTGCTCTTCCGATCTGATGTGTTTTCAAAAATTATAAACCTGCGTATAAATTGTAATTAATAAAATAGAAAATATGCGGAATAGTAAACACAAATTAAACTTTAAAAATAATATAATTAAATAAAAAAAAAAAATTTTTTTTATTAACTTTTCTCAGTGTAGGAATCTACATGGATTATTACATAGGAATCCACATGGATTATTATATAGGAATCCACATAGATTTCCACATAAGACCTGGATTTTTGGCCCAAATTCCCATAGGAAATGATATGGAATCCCATATGGATTATCCATATGGATTTCCCATATGGATTCCCACCTGGTTTTTTTCAACAGGGCTGCCAATAACGAAAGTTTATCTGGCTTTCGAATTTCTCGCTTGCCTCGATGAAATGCTATTGGTGTATTCAATTCCTCTTCAACCTCGTGCTCTTCAGTTGCATCCTCGTAATCAGGCAGTGTTTTCACCTGACTCGACTTCTGTATCATTGTCGTTCTCCTGCAATCTACATTTGACGTCGGTGTGATCTTCATTATCATCCGGTTTTATGTCATTATTTGTATCAGCAGTTGAATTTACAGTCAGTTCAAGTTTTTTCTTAATCAGGATCTCGGATTTAAAAATAACATTACGACTGCATTCGATCTTGTTTGATGTAGGTAACCAAACTCTATATCCGTCTTTTTCTCCGCAATATCCGACAAGATAACCTTTATTACTCTTCCTGTTAAATTTTTGACGTTTTTGCTTGGGAGAGATGTATGAAACACTCCGTTCCAAATACTTTTAGATGGTCGAAATTCGCAGACTTCTTATTCCAGAGTTCAATTGGACTTTTCTCCTTCACTGGCGTTGGCCCTGTGTGATTTAAAATACATGCTGCCGTATTAACAGCTTCTACCCAAAGTTTGATTGGAAGATCCTTCGTATGTATCATTGTTCGACTACTTTCGACTAGTGTTCTATTTTCTCTTTCGGCTGCACCATTCTGTTCAGGAGTGTACGGCATTGACTTTCGAAAGTTTATTCCTTTTGATTCTAGAATTTTCTTTAGTTCTGTATTATCAAATTCTTTTCCTCCATCACACAACAGCTCTTTAATCGTATGACCAGCCACGCTTGCTTCACTTAAAAATGTTGAAAGATCTGGCTACTTCGGACTTTTTTTTTAAGAAAAATACTTATCGATACTTCGAGAAATCATCCTTGAAACATACAAAATATCGCGATTCTCCGACAGATAGTTCCCGCATTGGTCCGCAAATATCCGCATGAATCAGCTCACCTGTCTGTGTCGGTCTATTTTGCCTGTCTTTGAAACTGGCTCTTGCATGTTTGTCTAGAACGCATCCTTCACAGAACTCTTTATCAACAGTCACCTTGGTTCCTTTTGATTGTAGAATTCTTTTGACGTGACTCTTCGCTTGGTGGCCTAATCGTTCATGCCATAATTGCAGCGTGGTCTCGATTGTAGCCAAATGAACCTCAGCAGCTTCCTCTGGAACCAAAACTCGTATTTGAAGAGCATACAGCCGATTCGATATCCTTTTTCCAACTAGTCGGATCTGACCATTTTTCATGAAGATACAGCCTCTCCTGTCAGCCTTAAAATTGAAACCACTATCAATATTCTGATTAATTGAAAACAGATTTTGTCCAATTTCCGGTATATACCATACATCCAAGAGATGATTCCGATACCATTTACCTTTCACATTCATCTCAACATTTATTGTATCCTTTCCATAGGTTAGAATGACTTCTTTATTACCTACTTGTACTGTCTTCGGTGTGACGAATGCTTCATATGTAGAAAAATACTTTTCGCAGTTCGTCATATGTGTTGAGACTCCGGAATCGGGAAGCCAAATATCCCGTTTCATGACACTTTCTTCCGAGATATAAAAGGCGTTTTCGTTGTAG